CGGTGAGTGTGCGAGCGGCGGAGGCGCCAGAGCCTGACCAGCGTCCTAGCTGGGCTGGCAGGCGGCAGGGAGCAGGCCATCCCGGGCGGTGATGGTGACGGTCGGAGCGTCCTCTCCTAAGGAGGCTTGTTCCCTTTGGGTCCGACCGCCCCCCGCGGGGTTGCAGCCTTTCGCGTCTCGCCCTCAAGTTCTCCCCTTCCCTCGCGCCGCAGCCAGCGTGGCCGCGGCCTCTCCCGAAGCTGCCCGACTCTTGGTTTCTTTCTCCCTCTCTTGGCTTCTGACTCTTGCTAATTCTGTAAGGGATGGCGCAGTCAGGAGACTTACCAAGCCAAACATTTTTTTTGATGAGGCAGTGTGAGGACTTCTCCGAGAGTGATGTTTAGGGGTGAGGCGGGCAGCGCGTGCCGGCGTCTGGGAGCTCGGCGAGGAGAAAAGTGCTGCCACCTGGGGCGGGAGAGGCTCTGGGGCCTCGGGGAGAGTTCTCGGAGAGGAGAGTCCTGTCGTGGCCAGCGCTGCCCTTCCCAGAACCGGCCCCAGATTCCCATTTGCTAGTACCTCATGCATCCGCAGCCCATTATTTCTGCAAGTTGCGTGAAGTTGAAAGCCCATGTCTTTCGGTCTTGGATTTTTGTTTTATTTTCTTCCCTGAGTACATCTATGAAAAGAGGTATTACTTAAAATAATTGTTTCCCCTTTTCAGGGAGGAGCTCTGTGATTATGTCTTCATTCAGTGAGTTAGTCCTTGAGTCACTGAGCTTCCTAAGATAGGGAATTCTGGTTGCCAAGAAAACAGTTAGGGAACTTGTGATTGAAGCCCTGCTGTGCGTTATCCTCCGTTTCAAACTGAATTTAAAATGTCTTTTTGAAACTTCATTTTCCATCTTCCCTCTCCATTTCTCTAGGGAGGATTTAATCCCCACACCCCCTGCAGAGGTCTTTGACCGCTGTTGCAATCCCCACCCCACCCCCTTTTATTTTTTCACTTCTGTAGTTTCTGAATTCTGTGGTTAGAGGGAACATGCTGATTTGTTAATGAGCACAGAAAATCTCTTAAGTCATACTGTCTTCTAGCATAGTTGTGGTTTACTCTTATTTCCCAGTGCATTTCCCCCTCTGTTTGCATGTCATGTTTCCGTGGGTCAATGGCGGAATCACCATACATTGAAGGGGTTTATTTTGAAAGAAATCTATAAAGTTACGATTGATTTTATACGTCTAGGGTTCTGAAAATGCACCCTATTGATTACTTGCAAGAAAGAGAGGATAGGGAATCTTCTATGAGAGGCTTTATATTTGAAATTCATTCTAAAAATTGGTTACTGTATAATATGAAAGTCAGTCCAAGACTTTTGTTGTTTGAACGTAGGCCTACAGACTCACTTACTTAAACATGAAAAACTGTAACAAAATTATTTCTTAATATATATGCATAATAGTTTAGTTACATGTGCTGTATAGTTATTTTATCATACAACATTTTTATTGATTATTAATTTGACTTTGTAGTTAAAACTCTTGTGACTTGAATATGGCTAAGAGAAATACCCAGGTTCACACTGTAGTAGAGGTAGTTCTAGAATCTACAGTCTTCTGAACCTCCACGTTCTCTGTGAAAGAACTAGGTGTTATTGTTAAGTCATCTCTCTGTAAGAAACATCTGATGGTACAGATAGTAGAGGATAAAGTTCCTATTTAGCAATTCATCTGGTAATACTTCCTTCCATAATTTCTGGTAGTTTTACTATGAAGTTTATTTTGCTGAATAAATTTGCTTTGTTTCATTATTTAGAAGCTAATACTTTTAAAACTTGGCATAAGCACTTAGTGTTTTGTTGACTTGACTTTGTAATTCTTTTTTTTTGTGCAGTTTACATAGTTCCTCATCATCATAGAAATGTGGAGTGTATTGGCTGAATCCTCATGCAAACAAGATCATTATGGTCCTGGTAGGTAGGGCAAGTATCTGGATGTAAGGTAACATGCCTGCTGTCTTAAAGCTGTAAAGTACTTCATGGGCTCCTGAGTTGGTTTTTTTGGTTTGTTTGTTTTTGTTTTTTCCTGAGTTGGATTTTCTATCTTTGCCAGATGTCCCATTGATTGTAATACCATCAAGTGTGGAGTTGTTCAAGAAGCCAAATAAGGACTATATCTCAAGCTATATATCATTTCTGATTTCCTCTTCCAGTAGTTCCAAAATGGGGTTTAGTTTGTAAAGTCATCTGTGGCTTTATTCTGGTTTGGCCTGGAGACCAAGTTTCTACTCTTAAATCATCCTGGTACTCACTCGATAGCAGATGCTACTCTATGAGTAGAAGAGACTAGGTGAACAGTTTTTGGTTTTGTTTTCACACAGCCTTTAGAATCCTGGGTAAAGATACTGTCATACAAACTATAACCGAAGGGACTGATCAGTATTTATGACTATTATGGGAAGTTAGTTTCATCCTACATTTTTATTGCATGTGGCGCAAATATAGAATTTTATTAAATAGGTATTATCTTGTGATATAATGACTGATTCATACCCCTACAGAGGATAAAGAATCCTGGAGATAAAGGATTTAGTCTTACCAATTTTCAAGTTCTTTTTTTTTTTTTTTTTAGCTTTCACTTATTTGTATACAAAATGTGTTGCCACAGATAATTATTACTTACTGGCAATTTATTTGCAGAGTATTCAATTTTTGTTAGTTGTCAGTCTGATAAAACCATCACACAAGACTTACGGTCAGTTCTCTAAGAAAAGTTTTATACCCAATTTCAGGCCCACTTATCTGCACTTTCATTTCATGGATCTGTCAGATGTTCATTCTTTTAAGAAATGTTTAGTGAGTATCAACTGTATACCAGGCACTGATAGCTTGAAGGATACAATGTGAGACAAGACAGGGCCCCTGCTTTCAAGTGGCTCACAGTCAGGTGTATAACGTGCTGACCTGGACATTGATCTCTGAGAATACAGAACTTCATTGGCTGCTATGCACAAACAGTTAACCATAAAAATCAACAAGTGGTGATGGATAAAAGGGAGATGGCATGGACTCTTAAGTGCTACAGGAATTTGGAGGCATGAAAAGACTGCTGTAGAGAATGTTTTCAGGATGAGGTAGTCTAAAAGTCAAAAGGAAGGCTTTCTGGAAAGATAGAGCAATATGGGTGAAATCACCGTGTGCTTGAGACAAGGACAAATTTAACTAGAGCAGTGGTTCCCAAAGTGTCCACACATATCAGCATCACCTGGGAACTTGTTAGAAATGCAAATTCTCAGACCCCACTTGGGGCCTATTGAATCCAAAATGTTGGCAGTGAAGCCCAGCAGTCTATGTTTTAACAAACCCTCTAGGTGCATGCCAAAGTTTGAGAACCATTAGACTAGAGCAGAGGGTTCTTATGTGGAAGTAGTGGGCAAAAAACTTTGTTAAGGTAGCCTGGGAATTCACAGTGAAGGACTCAGAATGATAGGGAAGAAGTTTGTCTTTTATCCTACGGAGCAGAGTGACCAACTGGACACTTGAGGGCTGAATTCAACCCATAAATAATGTTTTATTTGTTCTGCACAGTGGTTTTTTTTTTAGTTGTTGTTTTTTTTAATGAAATTAGTTGTCACTGTTTTAAAACCAGATTCTATTTAGAAATCTGTGCTTTTAGCTTATCTTGAAAAAGGAGAAGACCTGGCAGTACTGTGCCTATATTTCAGGATGGTAGCAATCTGGAACAGCAAGCAACTGACCTTTTAGGTGGGACATGTGCTTCCCAGTTTGCACAGTCCCCACCACTTCCTGTTGTTTTACACACACGTTTACTCAGGTGTTACGTTTTCTGCCTGGCCCAGGTAGGCATTTCAGTATTTGAGTTTGTAACTTCTGTTATGGACAGTGGAAAATCGATGAAAGTTTTCAGAAGGAAAATGATGTGACTTATATATTCATTAATTCACTCAACAAACATTGATTAATTGAACATATATGCCAGGTTGTACAGTGTTCAAAGATGAATGGACACCTGCCATGATGTGGGTT